AAAATGAGAATAAAATTCACAGACATTCTGTCGAGTTGTGAAAACAATATGTAACCTGGATATGTCTCATTGTGTGCTTTTCATTTATGAGAATTTGTTGAATGCTCGACTAAAGCGGGCTTTATCTTCTTCTTCCTACAACTTCATCCGGATCCTCAACTGCATTCATTAAATACTAAATCCTGTAATTAAAACGCGAGCAGTTGTATAATTACCATTAGACAGAAGAAGCTTGTTTTTTGTGCTTGACAAAGTTCCTTGAAAATATGATGATATCTGTGAAAGGAATCTGTACGAGCTGAATGAAACGAGGATGGAAGATTGGAGATGTGGATGTGCAAAAGTTATAATTGTTATATGTTCTGTGTAGAGGATTAAAGTGTTCGGTTTCACAGAGAAATGGTTCGTAAAACCAGAATTTGATCTCTTAAAACTTTGAGCATTAAAGATTTTTGTTGTCAATATACTTTTGTGGCAATGTAATTCCTAATCAGCTTATCAAATGGAGTTTTTAGAAGTTGTTGGGATTGTTTTATAGAAAGAAGATTCAATTTTGTACCTTACTTTAGGGTAGAAAAGTTGTTGACAAGGGGAAATCAACATGATGGTAAATTCTTAGATTTTCCATCATAACTTTTTCTTATCAAGTTGTTTTCCCCTTGCATTCATACTTAAGGATTATTCACAAACAAGGATTATCAAAAATAAGACGACACGATCTCTGAACAACCTAGCACAGCTTCTACCATTCGAGATAGATTAATACGGAGCAAGGGGGAAACAACATGAAGGGAAACAACTGTTATTCGAAATTTCACAATTCAGCTATTTCAAATCAATCTTTTTAAAACGTGTTGTTTAACCTCTGACTTACAGTCAGCTGATCAAGTCCTGATCCAGAGTCGTAAGTGGAAAGGACATTTGAAGCCTTAACCAAGCCTTAACATAAGTACAAGACTCTTCATCTTAAGATTTTATATAAAAATAATGAATGCCTATAACTAGGCTAGTCCTTACTTCCACTAAGATTAATACCTAGTAAGCCGACAAGAAAACCAGGCTAAAATGTTTAAACTTTATTCATCTATTACCAAATCTATGTGATCTACCTCCATACATTCAATAAGATCAATTTAAGAACCCCCAAAAAAATCAGTCATAAATGCAAATGCAACACAAAAGGGAATAAAAAGGATGAAAGCATTTCTTTTATCACCAAATCTCACAAAAATTTGTTCTACTTAGTTAAATGCAACGGAAACTCAGCAACAGCATCAACGGGAAGGTGAAGATATGAAAAAAATACACGTGAAAAAAATAAAACTTTTCAATTATCTTTTTCGAGTGCCTTTGCAATAGCTTTTTAAATAATCCTCAAGTTGACAGTAACGACTTGATGATTGCTTTTTATATTTTTCTTTTGAGTATTTTTCTCCTTATTCCAATTTCTTTGTGTGTCGCACAATACGATTTATTTGGAAAATATCTTCACTCACTGTGCTTCTCATTCATCACACACATGTGTCATGTTTATATAAACTTACTTTAGTTCTTCACGCGTAAAATAAAATATCTGATGTTTATGTCAAATTTTCCTTGTTCGCAATACATTTATCTTCTATACTAAAGACTTTGTGCATGTACAGGCAATATATTTTCTTTTACAAACAACACACGGAGAGGAAATGGAATGAGAAACTGCATTGATCGTGAGAAATAAGGACAGAAAAGAATGAGAGGAAAAAAGTTGTTAGGAATATAAAAATTTGGGGCAATTTTCACTCTTTTAAGTAAGAACAAGTAAGGAAGAGTTAAGGGTGGTTTTGTCTAAAGCGCATTTCATAGTTTACGAGGCAGAAAGCTATTGCTTTAATTTTTAATGGAGACTTAAAGTTGGAATCCTCATAAATACATTCTACATCCGATTCTCAGCAGTTCCTAACCCAACGTGTCTGATCATTTCATTTTGATGCCAATAAACACATTTCCTAGCATTCCTTCTCCTAAATCCCACTTCCTTTCCCTGTATAACCGATAAACAAATCACAAATCTCAAAAAACATCCAGGCTCTGTTTACATTCCCTCAATCTCAGTCAAAATTAACACAAACGTACACAACAACTACATCTAACAGCCTGAAAAGTCGATTTATGTATGAGATATAAAGCAGACTGCTTGGCATCATCCTAATGCGTTTTTGTGTAGCGTTGCAGAAAATTGAATCTGTATTTTGTGCCAAAATCCATAATCATCATAACATATTGCCAAACGACCTCCCATAGTGACACTGTAGTGTATATAGATAGGGAATGATACTGAGCATATACATATTAGCACTCGGAGGAAAAGTTTTACTTTTAATTTTTTTGGGGATGTTTGTGTTTATTTAGGAATTGTTTGGTGAAATTGAGATTTTGGGGAGGGAGGTATTTGTCAGTGACGACAAGCATGAAAGGAAGAGGAGACTCCAAAGATGTTTTAAGCTTGAGGGGTGCTTCATAAGTTTTTAAGGACCTTAGAGACCCTCATAAGCATAAGGACGTCTTTAAAAGTTTATATTTTGGTAGACGTCATTTACGAACAATCTATAAAGGATAAAAACATTTAATTAAGACTTAATTAAAAAAACAAGCATCATTAATGAGCAATTTGGTCACATTTGTTTTATTTTAGGATAAAGCTACAAAATCTGAATTTTTAAAAATAAATTATTCATAAGCTGAATGCTTAATAAATGCCTAATTATTGCTAATTGTTAAAAATATGAATCATTCATAATGAAACAAATCATTTTACCGTACATAAATCAAGTTTAGTACAGCTGAAGTAAATCATTTTATCTGTCAAATTATTTGCGTTTTTAAACTTTTCGGGTGCCAACAATTTGCTATGCTTTCTCGAAATCCCGGTCCCGACAAATTTTCGGGATCGGGATCGGGATTGAAATTTTTCGGGATTTCCCGGGAAATCCCGGGAATCCCGAATATGTAAAAAAATTTAAAAAACAGCATTTTTCTGCTTTTTTTCCCAAAAAAAATTATATATTTTTTTGCTACTTATACGGTCATTTATTCCTTAATTAATTAGTTATACTTTATGTGTTACAAGTTAGATGTTTTAATCCATGTTTCCTTTGAAAAATGTGAACATAAACAAAAATAGAAAATAAATGTTGATAAAGATGTAAGTTAAAAGGTTATAGAAAACGGTGTGAATATAATAATAAAAATTAAGCATTAATGAAAAAACTTTTAACAAATGCAATTGCATTTAGATTCTTGTCAAGTAAACGTTTTCTTTGTTTTGTAAGAATGTTGTTTCTAATAGAGAAATTTCGTTCGCTTTGAGTTGAGGTCGGCTGCATTGTTATCAATGCATCGTAAAGTTGATCTAACAAAACGGTTCTCTTCTTATTTTTGTCATACCAATTAAACTCTCTTTTCAAGTTATTTGGTTCTGTTGCTGCTGCATCTGTTGTTAATGATGTATATTCAGATATGCTTAGTTTCAGTCTATCTCGAATAGAATGTTTGACGGTTGGATTTGATTTGCACTGGATGTTGAAGCTTCCATAGCTCCATTTGTAGAGTTTTTGACAAAATACTTCTTCAATAAGTCAATGCCAAGTTTATGTATTGCAGCTTTTGTTGACGATTTAAAATGCTTGTCTAAAGAAATATATTGAGGATTATTCAGGTAAAGTATTAAGTCAATTAATGTTCCATTTCTTCGTACACCTATGCGTATCATATCGTAAACCTTTTGAGACAATAATGTTCCTTGTAGCAACAATTCGTCTAGCAAAAAGTTAATTGTTCCTTCAGCAATTAATAAATTGTTTGATTTACGCAATAATTCTTCTGTCGCGTATTTAGCAGGTTCTAAAACATCAATGATTTCACAATGATTCAGAATCGGAAAAAATGTTCAAAAATTCAAAAATAACATATTAATTAAACTTCATCTTTTAAATGCCAGATTAAAGATTTTAACTTGAGGCATATCCTATGAAAATATCTCGTCCTAATTTGATGTCTAACTCCAGAAATCATTAATTTAATCTCACCCAAAATTTGTTTACAATTTGTGTATGAAAAAAAAAATATGATTTTTTCTACTTTAAGTTGTTATTTGGATGTCTTGGAAGCAGTTGCTAGCTAATTTAAGCTTTGCTTTACATATTAAAATAACCAACTCAATAAAAATCTGCTTATTAAGCCTTAAAAATGGAATTGAAATCTGAGTATTTTTACACAACTTAAACTATTCATAAGTTAAAAAGTCTTCCAAAGACCTCTCTGAAACCTATATAAATCCATTAATTAAGTTTAAATCTATCTCCCATATTACTGGGGACATGCCGTTTGATGCCGTTTACGAGATATTTGCGATCAAAGTTTACATAAATTTTCATACAAAATTTGATCATGCACAATATTTTTTGATAAACTTTTACAAACTTTTGGTAAAAAATCATGTCTTTCCTTTATATTAAGGACTGATTTTTTGAGCAAAGAACAAAAACATTATCTAGAAGATGCTAAAAGAATCAAATCAAGAGAAATTAACAAAAACTTCCAATTTTCTAATGTGTTGGAAAAATATTGTGCACAAGGAATTTTTGAACATTTTTTCCGAATCTGAATCATTGTGGATTTCCTAAACTAAAAAACCGGGATTTTCAATCCCGATCCCGATAAATTTCGGGATCCCGGGATTGATCGGGATCGGTAAATCCCGGGAAATCCCGATCCCGATCCCGATAGAGAGAAAGCATACAATTTGCATTATTATACTATGACTAAAAATTGCCGCATATCCTCATGTTTAATTTCCGTTTAAAAATTCCTTCTCGCAGTGAAATGCACAATGTATGTACCGCACTATGATACTGTGAACTACATTTATATAGTCCATTTTAAGCACATAAAACTATAAAAAGTCCAGCAGTAAAAATATAAAAAAAATTTAATTTTATTCTCAATTTTTTCACATTCAGATTCCAGTGGTGCATCATCAATCGGAGTGAAAGAGTCGTATGTTCCTGGATCGTTTACTGCAAAGCAAAAGAGTCGTCCTAGTATTATAACAGCTACAATTGCTGCAAGTTTTGACAACTCAATCTTACAGGTAAGTCTCATGTGTTGTAGGCTCGTGATTCATGAGTTGGTGTTTCTGTGAGAGGAATATGAAAATAGCATCAGTCATGCTGTAATCCTGTGTAGTTACAAAAGATGATGGAAAAGAAAAAAAAAATTCATTTAATTCCCATTCATAAGATTCTCATTTTTCCTTCTTTACATCTGTGTGTGAATCTGATGGGATAATAATCCTCAATTCTTTCCGTTCATGATTTTCATATCTTTTCAAATTCCGTTCCTGTGCTGATTTCTTGGAGAAATAAGCTACATTGAAATATTCGTCTGTCAATTTTCATAAAGAATTGGTGGTGCTGTAAGAGCATTGCTGAACATTTATGGTTAGTACATGACATGTTATGTATGTCAGGTATTTGAACTGGAATTAAGGATCACATGCTGGACATTTTATGCATGTGTCAGACACTTTGCTAATAAACCATAATATTTGGGGTTGTTTACGAATGATATCAATAATACTGAACTTCTAGACCCTCCTCTTCCATGCAGCACAGTTAAAAAATAAATAAAACTCGTCCCTAATCTTCTGTACTTGATACACTTGCATGACCTCCTTAATCATTTTGAAAAATGCGCCTACAACCCTCTCGCACTTTCTTACTTGATTTATTTTTCTTTCAATTCCATCACACATTCATATGCCACTTTATTTCTCTTGATATTTAGATATCCGACTGGCTGATGTTGAATCGTGAAATGCTAAAGCAACAAACCATACCTGTTGGTGACGTTGATGTTATTGCGAATGCCATCGATCGACAAAAGGTAAAAGAACAAAACGAACATAAGAAAAATATTTATGAAAGCATAACAACGAAGTTTCTCACTCACGTGCACGAAAAGTTCTTGCTTGGGGAGAAAAAATATTTTTTTACTGCCGCTCACTTCTTCTTTATCCTGGACACAAACCACGATATTCTCAGTATTTAAAAATGAGAGAGGAAGCATATTCTGCTCCATCGTAGCTGTCACTGAAATTCATTTCAAACATTCTTGATGCTTATCGAACTATAAATGAGACTTTTTCAAGTTTTTTTTTTTTGGAGAATTTTAATTTTGTGTAATTTAATTAAATTTTATCGATTCCATAAGACGATAATTTGATTAGAGAGAATTTCACAGAATGATATCAATGTCAAATACAAGAGGAATTGATATAAATTCCTATCAATTATGGTTCAGTGATTACGAAATACTTTTTGAAGAGCTAGAAGATGGAAATTAACAAGTTTTAGAAACTTTTGAAATGAATGATGAGAGCTTGGGGGAAGTGAGGCTGTTGTTGTGTTGTAAAATCGGAAATAAAATGTCGAGAAATTTTTATGAGCTGTAGATTCGAGTTGTAAAGATGAGAAATTAAAATTTCATGAAGCTTGGGATTTCCTGACATAGTAGATTGAGTGTCTTTTGAATAGTAAAATTCATGGTTAAAGATGCTTTGATTGATGGGAATTTATTGAATTTTTGGAAGTGATTTTATTGATTTATTATTTTGGAATTTAACATCAATTAATGTGAAGGCACATGAACTATAATACGACTCTAGTGTAAAAGCACCTGAACGTATAATTTATATTTTGAAGGCACCTGAATCTTGAAATACTAGTGTAATGCAACCTGAACCTTTAAAACTTTAGTGTATAGGCACCTGAACTAAGAGAGAATATACTCTTAAGTCACCAAAATATAAAACCTCTGTAAAGTCACCTTTTTCTTCAAAACTTAAGGTCCGTAAACTTTTAAACGCTAATTGTGAAGGCAACTGAATCTCGAACCACTAGTGTGAAGGTGCCTGAACTTCTAAACTCAAGTTTAAAGTCAATAAAAACTTAATTCTTTAATCAATTCCATTTTAACTTCAATTTAACCATTCAAGAAATTAAATCCATAAACCAACACCCAAGAAAACCATAAAAATGTCAATAAAGTGTCCAAATCTTGGTCGTTTAAATCTGTAAATTATCTCCTTAACAAAAGGCCCCGAAATAATAAGAAAATTAGGATAATTGTTCATTGCCCTTTAACTCTCAGCTATAAACATTTTGTGTAAATCTCAAAAGGCATTCCTTTCAAGCAATATCTACTGGATGAATATTCTTATGTACTATTATATCCGTCGTTAACAACATTCAACCCTTCCCATATATATTTTTTTATAACCCCAAAAAAAAGATGAGGAATAAAAAAAAAGTTCTTTACAGAACAAAAGTGTTGAGTGAAACATAAAAGTAGAGATCAAGTATTAATTGATTTTTACTCGACTTGAACCCTCTCACTGATATGTCATCCCGATGAACTCATCTCGAAGTAGAGAATAAAAGTTGGAAGAGAAAACAAAGAAACGGAAAAAAAATCCCATTGATATTAAAATTATATAGCATATCCAGTGAGCAATGTGTATGTAACGGCTTTTGTTTATAGAACGGTTCTCATCCTATGTTAAGGACTTTTTTTTTTATAAACCATCGTATCTTTTATTTAAGAGAGGAAGGAATTGAAAATTGATTTATGATATTTGAAGAATCGTTAGACTAAGAATTTATTGGTATCAATGGACATTTATTATGAGAATGTTAAAAATATTGCGGAGAGAATTGAATACACCTGGAACTAGGAAGGGTATTTTGTTGATGATGAAGCTGTTAATATCATGCAGAAGTGTCAACATTTTGACACGCTAGTAGAATACCTGAATATATTATAGATTGTGTTTGGTGATGAAAACTAGGGGTGGTCGCCTTGTAAGTATCCTCCAAAGATATAACTGATCAAAATGATTTTTGATGATTTTTGGTCATTTTGATCAACTTTACATAATTGGATTCTACCTAATCGTCTTCTAATACATTTTTAAGTTTGTTATGTAAAAAGCATCGTGCAAAATCATTTAATACTGTCAACATGCTCTGTAAGTGTTTCTAAAACTTGTAGAAAGTACCGCGAGACAAGGTTTGCGAACTAGTGGTCTATATAGTAGAGAGTCTAGACTATTTTTGGTGAAAATCGAACTCTTACTGACTTACTTCGCTGGTCGTACAGATCAATTGTGATCCATGACCTCCCTTGGCCGTCCCCTAAAACTAGCTCTATCGCTGTTGGATACCGTCTGCCAATTGCCGATTCCAAATGCAACACTGTCTCTATCAACAGCCTCATTCCATGAGTTCTTTGGCCTTACACGTGATCTCTGTCCATCTCCAAAATCGAATCGAACTCACGTCTGCTTAAAAGAGATAGCTAGAAACTGGCAGATTTGATTATGCATGACAAAACAACTAAGATCAAGTTCTGTTTTTTAAAGGGCTATTTGTGGTGCCTAATCCTATAGTCAAAAATAGATCTATTGCTCTCTGCTTAAATAGAAAAGTTTAAGACGCTACGAGAAGCTTACATATCCAGAAGATCAAAACCCTTTCCTCGATTACATCCCTGCCTCAAATTTCGCCAAGCTCTTACATCATAGCATTTTACACGAATTTCTCAAATGGAGTCTAAAGCTTCTTGAACCGAAAAACTTTAAAATGTATTCAAATCATTCAAATTTTTAAAACAAATTCACAACTACAATGTATTTTAGTTTTTAAAATTTATACTCATAGATTAACCTTTTGTATAACAAGCTACATAGTTCATCGTTAACAGTTTTTCAAGCAACTTTTTCTTTTCGTGCATGCAAGAGTGAAGCAGACAATAGAACAATAGTTAAGAGTCCTCAGCTTGTAATTTATGTTTCTGATTCCTTTCTCTATTATTTTTCTCCCTTTTTTTCAAACATGATAAAAAAAATCTCACGACTACAAATATACACATCATGCTTACTTAGACGCTCCTACGTGAGTTGGATTTTAAAAAGCCTCAACTAGATGAGCTAGTCAACACAGCGGAAAGCTTAAAAACTGATGCCAATAAGTTACAATTACAGAATAAAGGTAAGTTCATTTGTCTTTTTTATTTAATGGTCTGACTGGATGACTGGCTTAAAATAATAGTTGTCGGACTTTTTTCCCACATTTTCTCCTGTAAGTTTTGGGAAAGGTCATTAATTAATTTTCACTCATACCCTTCTTTTCTTCTATTTTATTATTTTGTTCTTGTTACAATTCCTTTTCGTAGCTTTATTTCTGCTTTCTTTTTCATTCATCGATTCTCACGTATGGAAAATTTATAGTTCCACCACCTCGATTATATGCTTTCTAGTTAGTTTCTACTTTATATTTCTTCATTTTCCCTCAACTATAAGCACAATGTATGTGTAGAATGTTTGCAGACTTTTGCCTTTGTGAATTTCAACAGTTGCACAATTTACAAAAGGAAGAGAATTTCGAGAAATAAATTTTCCATTAGCAGCTCTCATTTCCGCTTATGCATCGTTCCTCCTTTCTTTACATCCCAACAACCACCTAAACTCATTCTGTCTTTCATGTTCAGTCTCTTGTGTACTGAAATCGACTGCATGTATGAATTCATATTCATGAATACAGAAGGAAAATAAAATTAAAAATAAATTAGATACATTTTATGAAAGCTGACTGGCATTAAGAAATGGAAGCACAAAACGAGAATGATGTGAAAGATTTGCAGGTTTTGGATTGACTAATTTTTTTTTTGCATATCAACAGGATGTCTGTATGTTAACTTTATTTTGGAAATGAAAGAGCTTCATAGTTTTTTGTTCGTCCTTTTGACTCTTTATGAGATTATATGTCTGTGCATACGCTCTACGGCTGTGCAATGATGATTTTGATTCTTAAGGAACATAACTTGTGACATTTTAATTTAAATAAGTAAAATTCTCGAATTATTTATCCTGTGTGAGAATCGAACCAACGTTGTTACAAGTTCGGTTTGATTACTCTTACGACTAAGCTAACGGGAGTTGCTAAGAAGCTTAACAGAATGCCAACACAAACTTACTCTAGCTCTAAACTTGGATGCCTCCAGCATTTAGTCTGTTCATAAGTCTACTTGTGTAATGTCTTGTCTACCCCATATTGATCTATTTATCGAAATCCTTAATAGAATCACAATGTCTTGGTTTGGAGCAATTCTCAAAATGCAGGCGCGTAGCCAGGATGGTCTTGTCCTCCTCTTAAGCGTTTTAGGCCATGCTTTCGTTGTGATTCAAAACGTTTAAGGGGGGACAAGATCCTCCTGGCTACGCGCCTGTCAAGATGTGATTGAGATGAATCATTCCAGGATAGATTGATCTTTAAATTTAAAACCTTTATGTACCAACACTAGCATGTCCAATTTAAAAACTCAAAAGAGTTTCATGAAAAAAAGCCCTTTTGATTCCATCAACTCGATAGTGCTCGACATGCACCTTTAACTTCCATTCTCATAGATGCGAAAATAATCAAGTCAGGAATTAAGACCAGAAAAGGAAAAAATCTCGTAACCTGACAGCTGTAAAGCAACTATAAAATCCATTCCATTGTGTATTTAACAGAATATGTTACTTACATCAATTTTGCGGTCGCAATGCTTTTCTCATTTTATACAAAAGCCTGTCAACACAATCTTAGATATCTGTCTTTATTTACCGTATGACAGCTATATTTAAAGCTTGAATAACGGAGTTGTCAGTAGGGAATGAGAAGGCATTGTTTGATGTTCATGAATAGATGGCATTTATGGGACTTTCAATCTCTTTTATAACCGTTGTTAAATGTATGTAAAGATAGAGTTGCCGCATTGTTTTTGAGGAAGAAAAACTTTCCGATTGGAAATAGATCGAACGACAATGAAGATTCTACAGCATTCAATTTTGAGGATTATAATCAGTTATAATGGATTTTTTTTTTTTGAATAACAATGCAGGATGCAAAATCAATGTGTCAATAAAGAGTTAAATATGACATGTGATATGATAAATGTTGAAAAATTTGAATAGAAGTTTAGAGTCATTCTTGAATGTTTAAGATATGTTGTGGACGTTGGTGAGGAAGGTATCTTAGATAAAATATTTTGGATAAATAATTTGAGTCACGATTCTGTTCCTATCTATTGTGCTACTGGAAGAATCTATGTAAAATCTCAATTACCAATGGACGTCATTTACGAATGATCCCTTAAAACGTGTATAGTTTTAAGACTATCATTCTCATAGTGCGACCCACAATTCCTCTATTTCATCCATAAAGAAACTTTTTCCATCACTAAGAAATAAAATAAACACACCAAACTCAAATTCTCCTTTAAAGTGCTAACCATTTAAAGCAAAATAGACTCAACTTCCTTAAACTCTGCAGCAATGTTGCCATTTCCATTTTACAATACTTAAATTAAATTTGTTTCGAGTCGTTTTTCTGCTCTTTATTTGACAATTCGATATATCGAAAATTGTGGAAAATTGGAAAACTTTTATGTCAAACTTTTCCCATGTCATTTACTCAGTCTCTCCATTTCTCTCGTACTTATGCTTGTCCCAGAATTTTTCTTTCGTTTTGTTATTGTTCTTTTGTTGCTGCCTGTGCATGCTTTCCTCTTGAGTAAATATTCAAAAAGCACTTCATACACTCTCAATCGTCCATTTCAATGGATTTTCATTACTTCTTGTTCATTGTTGTGATAGTAGGAAGACATTTTTAATAGATCTTTACAAAAGGTTAAAGTTAGGGTCGATTTGCGCTGGATGGCTGGCTGATTTAGATGATATTGAGAGATAGGTATGTGGATGGGATGCAAAATAGTTTGTCAATTGAGGTGAAGAAGTTGGAATCATTTCTTTTGTTCAGAGTGGAGGCATGGAAGAGTGGAATCTTTAATGCTGCACCATATGTTAGTCTTGGCATGAGTATTAAAGCAAAGATAGTATAAGGGGCTGTTCACTTATTACGTAACGCGAAAAAATGACTTTTTAGACCCCCCCCCCCCCCCTCGTAACAAAATTTGTATGAAAAAAAATTTCCTTGTTTGAACCGTAACAAAATCTTAGACCCCCCTCCCCCCCCTAAAAGCGTTACGTAATAATTGAATGGCCCCTAAGTTGGTATAAGTTTATCGTAAATGATTGTATGAAGTCTTTTTATTAAATTTTGGTATGAAATATTGTGCGCATTACTCAGTTTAATTTTTATATGGCGAATTATTTTGTGCGCAGTATAATTTTATTTGGCGCACAAATCACGCGCAGGATAAATTTTATACCGCGCACAATATTATGCGTATTATAATTTTATTTGGCGCACAATATTATGCAAAGTATTTTTTTATGCGATGCTCAATATTGTGTGCAGTTTAGTTCAGCACAGCAAAGTTTTTGTGATTTTATAGGTTAACCCTCTTTAATTGTCTATCTTGCTATTGTTTCCATCAAAAAATTAAAAATTTGTTCTCATAACCTAGAAACACTTTCTCAAAAAGAGACATTCAACCCGATTTCACAGAACTTTTATGCATATATGCTTAAATTTTATTCACATACTGGCCATCAAAATTGTTGACATTGAACACAAATTGCCTTTTTTCACAGTGTTTACTTAACATACGAAAAACGTTTGCCTCTGTCAATTTTACTGTTGTTGTCTCGTCATTTTCAATGACACTTTGTGTTTTGTTCATGAAAAGGGAGGATGTAAGGATGTAAGGATCTACATACGAATGCATTTATTGGATAAAATATCATATTTTTTTTATTTTCTAACGTTTTACGTTCAATATGTTATGGATTGGAACATAATTTATGAATGACACTTAAAAAAACAAGAGATACATCCAGCGAGAATGAATAGGAAAACGATATGCACGGGAAAAAAGGTTTCAAATACGAGGAAAAAGGTCAATTTACCTATCAAACTCAATTTAAATCAACGTTTATTTCTATGAATGTCACTAATTTGATTTTCTGCAGCAACATGTATGCACGGAAAACGATATTTTTTCCATCTCTAAACGAAGAGCTTTTCTGGATGATTACGTATAGCATGACTAAGTATTCAGACTAATAGTCCAGGATGGGAAATTAATTGCTATTTGATTTTTAATTCATTTATCTAGTCTGGAATGTTTATGATTTTAATTTCGAATGGGAAGGTGATTTAATGCCAATTTGATGGAAATGAATGAGATAAATTTTCAGGAGTGGGATGGGATGATGACCAATGAGGAATGATGAGAAATTTATGTGATGTGACTTTTGAAGCTTTAAACATGAAAAGATTAAAGACACAAAAATTTTTGGTGATGCTAAAGCTTTAAAGGGAGGATATTTGAATGTCCTAAGATGTTCATTTGTCAGCATGCTTTAATAGATTCTCAATATAGTTGTAGCTCCTTAAAAACCAACTTTTCCTTCAAAATATGTTTTTTAATAATTTTCTCGTCTGACTAAGTTCGAGAAAATATTCCAATTAGTGCTAGATTTACTTTGTCAACTCCTTTTATATGCAAATGAATGCAAAGCGAGACTGAAAGCATCAGACACAATACCATCAGCACATATGCAAAGCAACAATGCTTTGCAACATGAAGACAGTCTCAAACTATGCATGTCATGAATGTCATACAATAAACTTTTTCAATTAAGACTTAATCTGCGATTAAAATAAACTTTTTAATTAACTTAAAGCAATTGTCGTAGAGGCGCTTATGTATTTTTCATAGAAAAAGTTTTCTTTGCTATCTTTTTTGTAACTAGAATTCGTTCTGCTTGCACTCCACACATATCCTTCATTTCCTAGACGAAAAAAAAAAAATTCGACTTCCTGTAATTTATTAACATTTTTCATTCCAATGCTAAAAGAAAGGCAAAGTTGGCCTTCGTCTATGTCGAACTACTCGTCCCCATTCATTTTCATGGACATGCACACATCCCAATAAACTATCCTTGTGCCTTTTTTGAACTATGAGTCTCTGGGACAAGGAAAGTTATTCTCTCATTCTTCATGTGTTATTTGGCATTGGACATGCGCAAATCTCTTCCGAATTA